GTAGATTTTAGTTTCTGTCTGTCTGTCTGTCTGTCTGTCTGTCTGTCTGTCTGTCTGTCTGTCTGTCTGTCTGTCTGTCTGTCTGTCTGTCTGTCTGTCATTCATTCATTCATTCACTCAATTCATAGACATCTTTGAAATACTTTTCTCCATCTTGGTCAAATTTGATCTCCATATCCATCATATGCATGGTTCTAATGACAATGAAAACGGAAAACTTCACCTGATGCTAAATATTTAGTCCACGTTCAGACGTAGTTGATATTATATGCCCGACAATTTTATAAAACGCGTTTGAAATATAGCTGCATACAATTGTAGCAAATTTGACTCCATGCAAAAATTTCAATTTAGCTAAAGTGTCAACTATCTCTTTGTGAGAGCATGCTTTCTGTTAAATTAACCACATCTTGAGACTTAGTGAAAGATTTCACGTCTGTCTGTCCTCACCCGTATCTCAGACATGCCTGGACTGATTTCATTCAAACTTCACACATACATCAAACATATGCACATGCATTAATTTCATGATCTAATTCAAGATGGCTGAATGGTGGCCATTTTAGTACTAAAAATTAATCAAAATCAACAATTTCTGCCATTCCAGAACTGGATCTTGGTCAGGTATGGAAATATTTCATTCAATGATATGTCCATTAAACATAATCGGTCCTTTATGCACCTAAAGGAATTACCAGTCACACAGTATTTGCAACTCTGTGTCAGTTAAGGTCTATTTTACCATAAATATTTTCAATACAAAAATCCTCAATAAATGTCTTGTATTTTGATCTGTAAAGGGGGCTGCTTTATTAGACTGACATTAGCAGTAAGTTGATCAAATATGCTATATTTTTCTTTTATTCTGCCCCTGGCAATATATTTCAACATATTGGAAAGCTAGAAAGATTGATTCTGGTTTGTATAAAAATGTTTTTATTTGCAGTTATTGGGATTATCAAAACATTGGTGCGACACAGATACTGACGTTTTCTGACCTTGTTCCAGTGGACGGTTTGCAAAGTGTATTTATTACCCATGATGCTTGGTTTAGTGATCCTAGCTTCGTTACTGGATACTTTCCATCATCTGTTATTGTTAGTATTGTCTGTCCAAAGGTGAGACTTATTATTTGGTAAAAATCCATCTGAAGCACACATTTGCAAGGAACTCACTTCAAAGGGTGGTGGTCGTTGTACTATTTCTTGTTTGATACAAGACCCACAGCGATGTATAGAACACATGTGAAATACATGAAATTGGAACTCAGCTGCACTGTATCATCAAAATACGAAAAGGAGTCCATATTTTCGAAAGACTGTCTCTAGAGCTTGAGTGATTCAACAATCAGAAGAATGAAGCTGATTTTTTCTTTC